CCAACATTTAGAGGACGAGTAGGGAAAGGTGAGCCAGCAAAGGAAATTAAGAAATGAGCAAAGGAGGCCGGCCCGAAGGCGGCGAGTCATCTCAACTGATTGCTCACAGTCAGATACGGATCGAACCGCCTGTCTACTTTCTCCCCTTCTCACTCCTGCGCTTAACTAGTCTGAAAAACAAAACAAAATACAACAAAACAAAAAAACACAAAAAGTGACCAAAGGAAAGGGAGGGACCACAAGAGCATAACATATCAGAATTTGTGGAAAGAGGATATTTCGAGAAGGCTGTGGAAATTGGGTTGAATGCTAATAAAATAAGAAAAAATGTCCACTGAATTTAGTAACATAAAGATCGTTGCTAACCTGAGGAAGAGAGGATCCCATGGAAAAATAGGGACAGAACCCAGATTAGAATGGACTGAGGGTGACTGAGAAATCAGGAAGTGGAGAAAGTGATTATACATGATTTTAGATAATGGGTCCAACTTCCTAGTATAACAAGCTGGGTTATAACGATAATGAGAAAAAAACTGCACTTGGAAGAAACTGTGAAAGATATTGCTTTTGTGAAAGCTTAATCCTTTGAATTGAGCCTGAGAGGCTTCCTTTCCTTTTCCTATGATGTAGGTAGGCATCATGAATCATGAATTCGAAAATTTCTTTTATTATGTTACCTTCATAACTGCTGTGAACATAGAAGAGGGGGTTTAACTGAGGTATCTTCAACACAGGTGACACTCTACAGGGATACAGAAAGCCTTGAAGTGGGGAAAAGACAGGCAGAGATAAAGAGGCAGTCCCATTCCTCAACACTTGTTTTCCAGTATGTTTCTGTCTGCGATTAAACCCATATCCTCATGAATATTTATAGAAAATCATAAAAACAAAACTGACACAAATAAACTTGGTAGCAAGCAATAGAGAACGGTCTGTTCCTCAGTTCCCCTGTCTATCTGCAAAGTGCATATGTATGCTAGGGGAAGGAAATAAATGGATAGAATTCATTTGTTCTAGAGGAGAGTGGAGCTGAAGAAAAAGAAAAGCTGAATATCAACCTATCCGGATCCTGGGTTCTCGGTCACAAGAATGAGTGAATGAATGAATGAATGAATGGGCAAACAAGAGGGAATAGGTATGTCTTAGGGCAAGAGTGGAGATTCTGTGAGCGGGGATCAAGCCACAGATGGCACAACACAGACCCATTCGCTTGGTCAAGAAGAAAACATGTTCTGACTCTCCTTGTTTCCTCGGGTATGTATTTCAAAAAGACTTTGAGGAGCTTCTAACATGGAGCTCTACAGGTCAGAGCGGGGAAAATAGCTAAATAGTTAGAAAAAAACAAGGTGGGGTTCAGAGGTGGGGTCAGCCCACAGGGAGAGGGAATATATGGTGGAAATGCATGGAGCCTGAGCACCACTGCCCTGTGTAGAGCCACATGGTCACCTGAACTCGGGCCTCCTGCATTCCTGACACTTTACCACGTAAATGGCATGTCTGTGCCCTGANTTAGATAATGGGTCCAACTTCCTAGTATAACAAGCTGGGTTATAACGATAATGAGAAAAAACTGCACTTGGAAGAAACTGTGAAAGATATTGCTTTTGTGAAAGCTTAATCCTTTGAATTGAGCCTGAGAGGCTGCCTTTCCTTTTCCTATGATGTAGGTAGGCATCATGAATCATGAATTCGAAAATTTCTTTTATTATGTTACCTTCATAACTGCTGTGAACATGGAAGAGGGGGTTTAATTGAGGTATCTTCAACATAGGTGACACTCTACAGGGATACAGAAAGCCTTGAGGTGGGGAAAAGACAGGCAGAGGTAAAGAGGCAGTCCCATTCCTCAACACTTGTTTTCCAGTATGTTTCTGTCTGCGATTAAACCCATATCCTCATGAATATTTATAGAAAATCATAAGAACAAAACTGACACAAATAAACTTGGTAGCAAGCAATAGAGAACGGTCTGTTCCTCAGTTCCCCTGTCTATCTGGAAAGTGCATATGTATGCTAGGGGAAGGAAATAAATGGATAGAATTCATTTGTTCTAGAGGAGAGTAGAGCTGAAGAAAAAGAAAAGCTGAATATTAACCTATCTGGATCCTGGGTTCTCGGTCACAAGAATGAGTGAATGAATGAATGAATGAATGAATAGGCAAACAAGAGGGAATAGGTATGTCTTAGGGCAAGAGTGGAGATTCTGTGAGCGGGGATCAAGCCACAGATGGCACAACACAGACCCATTCGCTTGGTCAAGAAGAAAACATGTTCTGACTCTCCTTGTTTCCTCGGGTATGTATTTCAAAAAGACTTTGAGGAGCTTCTAACATGGAGCTCTACAGGTCAGAGCGGGGAAAATAGCTAAATAGTTAGAAAAGAACAAGGTGGGGTTCAGAGATGGGGCCAGCCCACAGGGAGAGGGAATATATGGTGGAAATGCACGGAGCCTGAGCACCACTGCCCTGTGTAGAGCCACATGATCACGTGAACTCGGGCCTCCTGCATTCCTGACACTTTACCACGTAAATGGCATGTCTGTGCCCTGAGGTCCTGGATATTTTACCAAGTGGCTCACTTTCCATGAAGCTGTCCAACAGGCTTGAGAGAAGGGGCAGCTTACGGGCTTCTAGTAAGTGCTCATCACTGCCCTGTATGCTTTATATGAGGCTACTCAAAAAAGTTCATTGGAAAAATAGAATTAAAATACTACAGATCTTCCATAACTTTTTGAAGATCCCTCATATATGCTGCCTCATTGAATCTTGACAGAAATGCTGGGATGTAAGTATTCCCATGCTCACTGAGAAGCAAACTAAAGTTCAGGAAATTGATCGTCCCCAAGGTCACAAGGAAAGGACTTGGATCTGAGCCCACATCTGCATGATGCCAAATCCCACGCTATTTCCACCATAACAAGACATAGTCTAGGAGAAACCAATCTGTTTCAACTGAGAGGGCAAAAGAAACGTGTTGGGGGCAGAGGGCACGTACCATACAGAAAGTAGAAAATTGAAAGGTGAGGGGGTCTAGTGAGAGGTTGGTCAACAGATACAAAATTACAGCTAGATAGGAAGAAAAAGACCTCATGTTCTATAGTACTGTAGAGTGACTATAATTAACAATTTATTGTGTACCTCCAATTAGCTAGAAGAGAAGACTTTGAATGTTCTCAACACAGAGAAATGATAAATGCTTGAGGTTA